GACCGGGGAGCTCGCAGCGGGCCCGGGGCAGCGGTGCTCGCCGAACGTGCGCCACGGGCGGCCCCTCACCTTGCAGCGTTGTAAAATATTTATTTTTTTGTTTGTGTGTTTTTTTTTTTAGTTCCATTCCCACGTGCACGACAAAGTCGCGTTTTTTGCACTTAGAAGAAGCTTTATTTTTTTTTTTCTATCGCCTGTACAGTTCTTTGTACATCTCTCAGCCTTCATTTGCACCATCGGAGTTCTTTCTTACAGTACACTTTCAGTGCAAAGGTCATGGTATAAAACTCATGAAAATGCAGAAAATGTGCAAAGCAGGCCCGGCCCTTTTTATCGTCTTTACTCAAAGACAAAGGCACACGCTTCAACATTCACGGTAGGAAAACATGCCCAGCAAACGCCCCGATGCAGTCACAGAACACAGTAAACACAGCTCCGAATACGCCACAGCCCCGTGGGAGAAGCCAAGGAAGCAGGTACAGCAGCCTGTACAGCAGCGCAGCAGCCACACACTGACTCCACACTGAGCCCACTCTGACTCCACAGCACGGGAAAGGGATGAGAGCAGCATTCCTGCAGGCATTTGCAGCACTTGTATCAAAATCCTCAGGCGTTCTCATGCTGCTGCTCCCGCGATCTCCTGTCCTCAGCAGGACACTGCGGCACCGCCCTGGGTCCCGCTGTGCGGGGACAGTCCTGGCACTGCGGCCTCTGTGCTGCGGGGCAGCCAGGACAGCGCTGGAGCAAACCCCGGCTCCTTCTCCTCTGCAGCCGCTGGGCATCACCATCTCTTCACCCCGCTGTGTCCCTCTACATCCCGAAAAGAGTCCTGTACGGGCTCTGGGTGCAGCTGCGCTAAGGAAGGTTCCCTCTGAAGCAGCGCTGGGTGTCACTGCCGGTCTCGCACACCGGCACGATGAGTTGTTCCGAACTGCGGGGGAAGGAGCTGCGGCTGCTGCAGCCGTGCCAAGGCCATGAAGGCACGAACGTGCAGGGAGCTCCCTCGGCAGCCCTGTGACACCACCTACCCAACAGGGGGAAGCACGAGGCTGAGCAGGGGATGCATGGACTGACCCCGGTATCAGGGCACCCCAGGCTGACCCCCCATCCCCACCACACAGCCCGACACCAGCGCCACAACCCGCACTGGGCTGTCACGTCCAGGCCACTGCTACTACTTACTTCAAAGACTTAATAGTTTACATAAATTCTCTTTAAATGATTTTAAACAATGGTTTGGGGTTGGGCTTTTTTTGAGAGAGTTTTATTAAAGATACTACACCAAAATCGTGTACTCCATAATATTTTGATCACTCACAGACTAACTTGCTTAAAAATGTAGTTTATAGAAAAACATCTGCAAAATTAAACCTAAAAAAAAAAAATACGTATTACATACCTCTGGACAATCTGCTTGTTAGCAAAGAATTCCTTTTATTATTCAACCTGAACATGTACTTAAACAAGGAATATACTCATGAAACAGGACACACTCCTTGATTATGGCACACCTCAAACTACTTGGACTAAAAGAAAACTAGTGCAATTGTTTAATTGCATCTAACAACGGAACAATAAAAATGACTTTTTATTCCTTTGCTTTTGTTTTTGTTTTTTTTTCCAAACCCATTCCATTTGTTCTTTTCACAACAAAACCTCCAGTGGTTAGTCCTGGAGACTACTCAGTGCATGAAGCAGACTCCCCATGGGCTGGTCCATGTTTACACAGAAGCATGCAATGGAGGATACTGCAGCATTTGCAATGCAGATCTATTAAATACGTTATAACTGAACAAGGTGTCCCTTTAACACTGCAATTCTAGAGCCTTTATCTGTGGCAGAAGTTTCCAGTGTATTCATTATAAAACAGCATACAATCAGAAACAGAAACAAGGAATTTTGCAAATTGTTTGTGTTTTCAACTAGTAAATCTGAGAGCTGTGTCTAGCGCCGAAACCAAAGCCAGCTATTGAGTAGCCAGAAAGCTACAGTAATGGAATACATGATCATTTCTCTCTTAGCACGTTCTTTGTTCTCTTCTTCCAGGAGCTGGAGACGGCGATTAAGTTTGATTATCTAAAAACAAATAAAGGCTTTTAATATGTTATTAAAAGTTGTCATGCTTTCTAGAAGCTTCCAAATAGCCATGTAAAATTAGTATCTCAAACAGATGGATGTTTAGCAGTTGATAATTAGACTTTCTGTCTTCAATCAGCAGTGGTCAGATCCTGCAGTGCCTATTATTTAGGAACAGAACTGGAGTCAGATTCTCCAGACTCCCAGAACAATACATGATATGTGAGGGCAGTCTAGCAGGGGCACAGAGAGGAGCCCTTGCCTTGCCTGCTCTGGGTACCTTTGTAGTCATAGAGAAAACCTCCTCCCCCATTTTACCACTACAGCTTTGTCCTAATGTTGTCAACTACCATGTTTTACATACCTGTCTTCTTAAGGAGGCAGCATCTACAACTGTCATGTCATCTGGTGTTCCCTCGAGCGTCGTATCAAAGTTGGAGAGACCATATCTATCGAATGAAGGAGAGGGCTCAGCTGTCTCAGCCATACAGATCAGCAAGTACCATATTTTATCAACATTCTAGTAGATGTATATTTTGGTGGTGATGGAGACAAGAATTATTTTTTTTTTCAGCTGTTACAGAGTTGCATTTCAATACAATCCTAACTGAGTAAAGCACATAAAGACGTAGATGAAGTAGACGCTTGACAAAATTAGGGTTGATTGCTCTCTACACTTATAATTCTCCACAGAGACAAACTTCCTGCTGAAACACAGCTCTTCAAAAGACAATTTCCAGTTAACTGACTGATTCATAAAACCTGAACAATGCCTGACCTAAAGTGCCAAAGTTGCAAGAGACCTTGCAAGAGTAAAAATAACCAGAGACTTGCGAAGTGTCTTATGCTCAGTACCTACTTCAAAATCCCAAGGGGATATTTACTGAGATTAAGAACCTCAGTCACATTAATTTCTGTATTTTAGGCAAAGAATCTGGCAAACAAAGCCCAGTGCAGTCACTCAATGCTTGCTGATCTTTGTGTGCATTAGAAAGTTTGTTCCCAGGGCACTCTCAGTTTTCTGAATGCAGCAATTCTAAAAGAGCATTATTCCAACTGCAGGACAAGTTAAGTAAATACAGAACATTTATTATCAGTTCAAAAGTGGCAGAAAGTCTATATATATAGGTTTGTATTTTCATCACCCAAGTCCTAGCTCTTAACCAGATTAATTTCCAACAACAGGTAAAGCAGTTCCTGATCCTCCACCTACTCCTGAGCTTCTCATTTTCCGTCTTATAACCTCAGTTTCCAGTATCAGCTCCCCTTGACATCCCTTCTTATAAGGACCCCTGAACAACTGCTGCAAACAGCTTAAATGGAGCAAAATAATGTCAAGGCTACTGAATTCCCAACAAATACACCTAAAAGAATGTTAAGCATTTAATGACAGTTATTTGTCAACTTGAACTAACAAGAATATGAGAATTCCTGGAGCTTGCAGAATCCTCTTAAGTGCAGAAACTACTTTTGCACTGCAGGTTCTTCCATCACTTTCCTGAAACTTCTCTAGAATGCCCTCAGCTCAAGCAGCCTCTCTTCTCCCAACAAACTGTCAAGTTTCCACATATCACTGCCCGTCAATACTTTGTTTCTAAATAAGAACTGCTATT